AGCCTTTAATTCTTCTTTAGTAGATAGTACCTACAATTGCAAAACTCAACAAAATGCCACTTTAACCGGCCAGGAAAGACAAGGATACGTTCAGTTGAAGGTATCTTAGCTTTGTTTTGTTATATTTTGACCTTTGGACTATTTTAGTTCCTGGGAGTTTCGACGACTCATCGCATTAATTTGTCCATGTGAATATTAATATATTCATTCAGTGACACATACTACGTCTGGGCCGCCTGTGGTCCGACTTAAATGCAGCGCGCGGAAGCCAAACTTGTAGAAAGATGTCGCAGAGCCATACACTGGCATTGATAAATCAAACGATCCACTTTTAAGGGCAATGTAATAAATACAGTCTCGCGGATATACCGAATATATCATTAAAAAAAAAGTAATGACCTATTTTAATACTGCGCGCAAGCTATTCTGTGAACGGTGCTGAATTCGGCGAGTTGAAGGCGAGTGTTTGTAGAAAGCTTTGCAAAGTGAAGCACATGGGAAAATTAGAATTAAATCTCCCACCTCATCAACTTCTGTGTCGCAAACATGTGAGGCCAACGTCCGCCGCAGTGTTTATTTGGTGGTGATAGTCTATGTTCTTGAATATGATGACTAGTTTGAGCAACCACGATGGTGATGGCTCGCAGCCAAAACTGCTGTAAGCTTAAAGGTGCGAAAACAAGGCCCGTGTGCACGTGCGTTTCACATTTTAGTACATTTCTCTGTCGTCGTGCGTCCCCCAAAACAAAGAAAGACAACTATTTTTTCTTTCCATTCGGACTATTACGTGTAAAATTCATGCGAAGTCACATGCAAAAGATTTTCGCTATATCTTGGTTAGTTGACGAAAAATTCAGGAACGGATAATAAACTTTGAAATGCGTTAGAAATGAGAGGTTTTCAAATAGTTACTTTTTCATCTATTTTCTTGATCAGATTTACTATTATTCAGAAGCGCAGACTACCCATACCACATACCCTGATGGACTAGAAGTGCTTCAATTTCCCAGGTCTGTATATAGAACTTAATCACTTGAAATCCTCATTCACCTTTCTTTAAGTAGATCTTTTCGTTGAACACCAGGTTTCTAAAAGTACCATCCACTTTGCTTCTCTGTCATTCAGCAAACAGGTTGAGAAGCACTACCGTGATGGAACAAAGGAAATCATATTTCCTGATCAGACCATTAAGTACCTGTACCCAAATGGAGTGGAAGAATGCGTGTTTAGTGACGGTACCATACAAAAGGTTAACGTGGAAGGAGAGAGAACTATTGAATTCCCAAATGGACAACGGGAAACTCACACCAAATGCTATAAAGTAAGTACAGACGCACCATTTTGTACTTTCTGCCTTGTATTGTTCGAGCTCTTACTGTGGCTTTCCTAGTTTCATCCCGCGACGTGTCTCACTGCGGGACCCTGGGTGTCACAACTTGATTATGATTCTGACGTCCCGAGGTCTTAATTCATTTTGAAAAGTAAACAAGAAACAAATGTGTAAAAAAAGCTTGCGCTCTTCTGCACCTAAGGTAGAGCTTTTTACAAGGTGTCTCCTTTCCTCCATGCCTGAGATTTCCAAGGAAAACAGGTTAAGCTAGCTTGCGAGCAGAGGTTTCTCTCTTGCATGGCTTTTAGCATTTACGAAGTTGCTCGCGTGGCTTGTCTGTCGCGTGCTTAGTTTGTTTACGCCCCGTGAGTTTCTCTCTCCTTGCCAAATACCGGCCCTTTATTTTCCCATGTCTCTCACTTACAGATTAGCTCATGTACACAATACAGACTCGAGGTTAAGTGTAACACAGGCATTGTGAAATCCCGTCTTTGCTCATTCACTTCAGCGCTTCGTGGGGTAAAATGGTGTTTTGAAAAAAACTATTGTAAAAAAGGTTATTGGCTGTCAAGTGGCAACAAGGGAAATAGAAACAGTTGGTGCGCCTGTACACAGGCTATATCTACCTGGGGAGTTGGGTGAAAGGTATTACCATGTTAAAAGTCAGGCGTAAAGTTGTTTGTTCAGACATGCATGTCCTAGAGTTAAAAAGTGTTGTTCTCTCTGCGTGACGTGTTTTTTGTCCATATTTAGAAAAGAGAGTACCCTGACGGGACAGTAAAGACAGTCTATCCCGATGGTCGAACAGACACCCGATATGCTACGGGACGTGTGCGGGTCAAGGATCGGGATGGTCGGGTCATAGTGGACTCTTCGAACCTACTGAGATGACAGCAGCTATTTTGCAAAGACATTAAAAAAATTGTGGATGTATATGAGAGTTATTAAAAGCGAAGTGATACTTATGTACTACGCTCTACTGACACCAGCGATGGCAAAATGGTAACCTATTTTGCCTTATTCTGACTCCTTTTAAGAACACTTGTCAAATGAAATAAAATAGTTCCTTTACTGAATAAAAAAAGAAAGTCCTTAAACCGTGCGTCTTCAGTTTATTTTTTGTTGGCTATCTACGGTTGACAATTCGCGTGCAGCATTAATCATAACGGTAAATTATTTTATTTACTTATTCATGCATTTATTCCGAACAAGCTTAAAAAGCTCTCGAGCCGACTGCTTAACTGCCCTATGGCTTTGTTCACATGGTACCCGACTAATTTTCGACCGGTTGAAAAGTCGACCCTTTTAGTTGTTCTGTTTACATTAAACCACGCTAACCGTATGAAAATTCAGAAGCCTAGCCATCCAAACATTGGGACGCCAAAGTCGAGGTCAAGTATTTAGCCGGTACGGTCGAAACTTTGACCAGCGTAGTGTGAACACCACGACCGTCTCAATTTTGCAAGGTAAAGGCGTCGCACTGAAAGACGTGATTGCATGGATGGGGAGCGGGGGGTAACTCTGTTAGGAGACGTCATTGTGGATTTCCTTAAGAAGATAGTAAAACCACTGGAAAAAAGTTTAAATTCAACCTGGGTCGACAGTTCCGTGTGAACGAAAATTCGTCAGGTGCCCTGTAAACGTAGCCTATGTTAAAAGCAACTTTATAACAATTTGCGTAGCCTGCGAAAACATCCGTTTCTCCTCTCTCTTCGCCGCTGGGGGCGTTTCGCGCACGTCCCCAGCGGCGAAGAGCGAGGAGAAATGGATGTTATCGCAGGCTACAATTTGCGTCTCACAAAAAAGCAAATTGATAGTACATCTTAAAATGCCAAAACAGAATGCGACTTTTCCTGCTTCTTGCTTTTTTTCACACGATGGTACTTAGATGAAGACGCTTGACTAGTTATTCTTTTCGACCGAGACAACAGCAAGACTGTTGTTTTACGGCCAATCAGAAGTTTTTTCATTTTTCGCTGTTCGACGCGGTTTCTTTTATTTAAATTCTTACTGATTCTTTCGATCAAACTTCCATTGATTTATTACTCGTAACACCTCTTCATCTTTGAGGAAAAGGTGCAAATTATAGAATAAATAAATTACGATGCCGTTGTCATAAACGTATTTCACTGAAAGATCTATGTTCCAAAATTATCCGGCAACGTAAAGAAATTTTTCGTTATATTATCCTTAACTTTCTTTGGGTAATAGGTTAATTGTGGAACCCGATGAGCTTGTGTCCCTCGCAGCCTTTATTTGTACCAGACACAAAGAACGGCTGCGAATAAGACTAAGTGAAGTTCCGCTTGGAATTTATCGCAAAATATTTTTCGCCTTTCGCTTTGAAATTGCACCTCTCTTTCAGTATGTATTAAAGGCTACTCCTGTTTTACTAACGTTTTGAAAACAGTTCACATTGTGAATTATGATTTTTGATTCGTTTGATTTCCTTACTTTTTCATACTTTAATAATCTGTTCAAATCTCTTTACCAAACTCTTTTTTGAACTTCTCTCCAAACTTTTGAGCTAGCTGTTGAAAAGCAAGCACCACATCGTCGTTTCGAGGTCCCCACTCCTGAAGTGAACAACTGAAAAACAGAACATTTATTTGAAAACTGATTTTTGAAATTAAAAAAGTTTTGTAAGTTTAATCCATCTCAAACGATGATATGTAAAAAAAGCGCAAGCACAGAACACTGAGACCGACAAGTGGCATGGCTATGAAACAGCGACAAAGGACAGCTGAAATTCAGTTTTGAAATTCAGACCATGCGGGAAATACGTACCCCACCCCCTCCCCCCCAAGAGAGTCTCACAATTTTTTTTCTTTCTTTCCTTTTTGGCGGACCTGTATAGCTGTAACTCGCTATTAAACCGCCAAAGCACCCATGCAATGCATATAGGTAAACAGGAAAGAAGATACTGGATTTTCGTTTCGGGTAGCTTGTTTCATAGGCATGTCCTCCGATGTGTCCTTACTTGACCACAGTAAACCACGTTCAGTCAAAATATTTCGGCCAAGAATGGCGCAGAGAGTAGGAGTTTCGCCCAATGTAAGGGATTTGAGATTTCGGAATCAGGGAAATATTTTGCTTGTGGAATCTGGGATCCAGGGAAATTTTGTTTGTGGAATCCGCAAAGCAGTTCGAGGAGTCCGGAATCCCAGTAACGATTGGAATCCAGAATCCAAGTTCCACTATCAAAGACTGGAATCCAGTACCTGGAATCTGCGGCGTGGAATCCAGAATACAAGAATGTCTTAGATTCCCTTACATGGGGCAAGGCGATTCATAGATAAGATGAGAAGAAAGCGTCGACTCAAACTTGGGGGGTTAGGGAGAGGTCACCTTTGTTATCGTGAGGCACGCTTAGTACTACCCATCATCAATTTAGCCACAATTGTCTTAATTGCATTTGTCTTTGGTGGAATTTGCCTGTTGCTTGGAAAAGTGGCATTGGTTGGCTGGATGATGAGATCCACATCGAAAGCATTCGTGTTTAAAGTTACAGTAACTGGAGAAATGACACATTAATCAATCACATTAAGCATAAAACCATTTATTTCTTTCAGAAATAAATTTCCTTTCTGTTGTAGTCATCAAATTCATCACTATTTAGTCCCTGAATTCACCACCCTGGACATCACCACTTGTTTGAAACTAATGCACTACTTCTAATTAATGACTCCGTGATGATGTCACGTGCTCTGCTCGCATTGTCTCCCGTGCTTCCCTTCCAAAATACAAACTTAAGCAAGGGGGCAATCTAAATTAAGGAAACGCACCTGATTGATTTAACTGTAAGACAGAAGTCCTTTAGTACAACGAAGACTTCGCCTGCTTTGATTCTACAACGTAATAGCAAATAATTAAACATGTTACAGTATAAGTGAAACCTGTTTAAGATGGCTACCTTGCATCTCAGTTGCACGGTGAAATGTTTATTTTTAGAACTTTCCTGACTTTGACATTTTTCCTTCAGATAATCCTTGAACGACAACATCATTAAGCCTAAAAGTCATACTATTAGGTCAGAAAAACAGTATCATTCTTTGCACTTTTTAATTAGTTAAGTCAATGTCTAATGTTACACTTAAGCCACCTGTGGCTCGATGTCACGTTATTACGGGGATTCCCTCACGATCGTGTGGAAATTAAAATACACCATAACAGGGTGTTCATTCGGTAGCCTGAGACAACAGACGACTTTTCCCGACGCCAACACCAATTTCTTCGCGAAATGAAGTCATGACAACGCAGGGAAACCAGTGGCAGCGTCGCAAAAGGTCGGCTGTTTTCTCAGGCTACCGAATTGGGGTGCTGTTTAAAATCCTCTATTTTCTCCTATTTTCATTTGTTGAATGTACGTTCATTGGCTTCTTTCCACTGTTCGAGTTAAAGAAAATCGAGGGACTGTGAAAAGTCTACTTTAAGTACCAGGCTAGAAATCAGGGGCCAAAACAAAATTTTCAAAATACTGTCGATCATCACTTGGCTCGATTTCAACCGTCTCCCTCCCCTCCAACCTGGATGTTCTTAGAGCTTCGTCACGTGTCCTGGAGGAGGGGCGCATGACGAAGCCCTAAGAAGTCTAAGAAAGTTCGGTATGAGTTCGGTCTCATTCTCCTGAACAGTGGCTGATAACCGAGCCTAAATACTCACCCATTTTCTTCCACAATGGCTACACCGGACCCATGCTTGTAAAAATCTAAAGCAAAAGAATTCAGACGAAGAACCCGTCCTGACGAATCATACTTCTTCGGCGGAAGAATGGGCACCACATTCATGTCTGTGTAAACACCTTGACGAATAATCTGAGAGAAATGTGACAACAGCATTACCGTCCATAAAGTTCATTGGTCAGTGTGTAGTACTGTATGTGAGACCGTAAGGTTTCATTGTTTCAAGTCGTCTGTAAAGCCTTGCTTTCATGCTACAAAATTCAAGACGGCGCTCGACGGATTGCTCCTCTTTTTGTTTCTTGTAATCAGTTTCGTTTACTGCGTGTGATGTATGCCGTCATTTTGTTAACTTTCCGGTGGAAGAACATAAGAATTCTAGCGAACTGTTCGACAACAAAAATTAGTTTTCACCTGTAACAAATCGTCAATTGGCTGTCGGCGACCTACTACGTTGTCGTGAATTTTCTTCTGTTTTCCTTTCTTTTTTTTCTTCCTTCTCAAACTCCCTCCGCTCTCACCTTTTGAGACAATATAAAATTCAGTTAAGGTACGAAAAAACGGGCAACAAAAAACATACAACTTGTTTTGCAACATTGCTGCAAAACGTGAGTTGAAAATCGATGTTGCACGTTTTACCACCCACGTTCAGACCTGTCAACAACCTGATTTGGTGCAAGACATATTTGATGAGGGTGGAAAGACGCGCAACGTTGCTTCGCAACTCGTTTCACTGCAGTGTTGTAAAACAAGTTACATGTTTGTTGTTGCCCGTTTTTCCGTACCTTTAGTCACTCAGCGGTACAGAGCATTTTCACATGACATCACGGCGGCCATATTGGTGTTCTAAAACAATGAAACGGCGGCCACGTTGGTGTACCAAGACAAACCTGTGGGAAATGAACTCTTTTCTAATGTAAAGAACTTTCTTTCGTTTCAATAAATTAGCATAGAAGCCGGCCACGTGAGTGAAAACGGTCTGATACTTTATTGGTATTTGATTTCGCGGGGTTTTACTTTCGCGATTTCAACGGACAAAAATGAAAAAAGGGGCATTACATTTCGGGAGCCAAGCGTTCTTGACTTTATTTTGTTCAAAGAGAAGATACAAAATGGAACTAATCAGTAAAACTAGTCATTAATTTGTGTATTTGTCATTACATATCCTGTACATATAGCTAAGAAAATTCCAAACTCGGAGCAAAAATTAAGAAAACGAAAACAATATTACGGCCGTATCATTCGGACTTCGTCAGCGTTTTAAAGTGATAGGTTGCGTAGCAGAAAAGTTACTGACGAATTCCCAAGAGAGGATTGTAAATTACTTGTAGGTCCAGTCCCTCGTCCCAATTCAGGTAGGGTTTTCTTTCACAACGCTGATGAAGTCTGAGTGATTCGGACGAAATATTCGTTTCGTTTTCTTAATTTTTGCTCTTCGTTTTGGAATTTTCTACACTAAATGTCTTCGCCAGAACAGGTGAAAAACATTTTTGGTATGCTGTACAATGTTGTTGTAGTTATTACCTGTTTTAATCTTTTTTCTGATTTGAATTGTTTTTTCTATATAGGTATTAAATCATGTTCAAATTTCGCGAGGATCATTGTTCGCCGGTCTTTAATTTCGCCTTTTTTTTAACCATCGCGAGAAATTAGTATAGGTAATAGCATGATTTGTAGTGATATTTGGCATAAATACCACGAGTGATATTTCGAAATTGTTATACGTTATTTCACGAGCCGTTAGGCGAGTGAAATTTGAGACAATTTTGAAATATCGCGAGTGGTATTTATGCCAAATATCACATACAAATCATGCTATTTTTTGTTTATACTACTACCCACAAAAGGTTTGTAATTTTCACATGTAGGTATTTCAAATTATGCTGAAATACCACCGTTCTAAGCCAATCAAATTGCAGAAATTTCTCATGTAGTAGTATAAACGCGGAAAAATAAAGACCCGAGAAATTAAGAATTAATAAAGTTGTTTTCTTTTCTTAGGTCTCGAATTCACAAAAAGGTTGCAATAAGTGGGCGAGTTAAATAAGGGAGTATTTTTAGGCATTAGCTCGAGACGTGCTAGTGTGTGAAACTAGGAATTGCAGTACACCCAACGATTAAAAAAGAGCAAAAAATAGAGCCACTACAATAAACTGGAATTTTCCTGTATTACTGATAAAAATCCGTAACAGAGTAAACAAGAAACATGAAATAAAATCTACCATCACTGTTTTCGTTTCTTTCCTGACCGATTGCAGCCGCAGCTGCTGTAACTTCCTGACCGCCAGAGCTCATCTCTAAATCTGAATTTCCTGATAAGGCGGCGAATGAAGAACAAGCAGAGTATGGTACAGACAGACGAACAAGGTTGTGAATGGTACCAGAAAACTGTTCTGCGACACCCTTTATGCTTGACTGGGTGGGAAATTCTGCAACAGAAAAGGGACATATAACGACATGTCAGTGGAACACAGTCGGAATATTACTCCTTTGAAACACCTTGCATAACAAGGCTTTTTCTTTCCAGTAAGCTATAGCTAAAACTTATTAGAAACAGTTCGTAGTAGCTAAAACGTTGTTGTGGTCAAGTCTAGCAAAGAAGGCGTACGCACCCTACTCCCTTCCATGTGTTCTACCCCTTGAGAACACAACGGTTAGAACGAGCAAGCGTGTTTAATTTAGTGGTTATTTCTTTCAAAGTTACGTTTTATCAGCTGAGAGCAGCTTTCCTTAAATCGATCGGTGACAAAATTATTCCGTCAAAAAAATATTGACGATAAAATTTATCTACTTATCCCACAATGCCCGTCAAGAACCTGTTACTTTAAACTTTAAAATAACAACATCTGTCATTTTTCCTTTATTTGGTCAGCGGCGTGAGCAGCCTGCTAGATGTTTGTAACTACTAGCATCTAGAAGTTTCAATGTGAAAGTGAATACAGGCCTTAAAAAGGATGATGGACCTTGTAATATGAGCAACAATCGAATGAACTTCTAAAGAGAATTAGGTTACGGTTAATGAGGCCGCAATTATTACGGTGGAATGAAGAGCGCATTATGAAAGGTTACTTAGTCTTTGTGAATTTGCCTGATGAGGCAAAACATTCACCCATACATTCAAAATGACTTTCGACCGATGAAGTAAAACACTGATTTGACTTTTTGAGATTTCTTTGCCTGCCTAGTAACATAGACATTTGAGACAGCCTAACCTTGAAGTTGGTTCGTCGAGAAAAGGAAATTAAAGTATTCGACAAGGATTCGAAATCAGATAAAACAGGAGGCTAAATATTCCGCAAGTGACGCTGGGTATGCGATGGTTTTACGTCATGTGAGATCTCCATAAGTGAGTGTCTGACAAAATTTTGCATTTTCCTTCGTACAAAGAAATGTTTTGTAATGCTTACCAATTCCGGACAATGGAAGTTTCTTTTCTTCGCCTTGCTCGTTTTCAACTTCAGCGGCCACTGTGGTAAGATACTGACTGAAGACACTGGTAACCTTCTCATTGTATTGTTGAAGACCCTGGGCGAAATCGTCTGGTAGATCCTCTAAAATAACCTAAGACAAGGATATAGAACACAAAAGTTACATATAATGCCATCCATCCACATTGGGCGTCTCCAGGAGCCGATTACTTCCTGGCGTCTCCCCAAAAGATTAGGGTTCATTGTCACAGTAATTTATCGACCGATCTCATTTTTTTTCACCATGCGATTTAATGGGAATATTTTTTTTCTCTGTACTGCCTTGAGAAAAATAGCGATTTAATATGGGTAAAGGGAAAAGGAAGCTTACTTTCGAAGAAGGGCACTTTTCAGTTGTTCGCACAAAATTAGCGTGTAGGAATCGTCTGGCAAACAAGTGGTTAAGAACAAGCACCATTGTCCTCATTACGTCTTCGGAAAATGCTCCTGTTGCCGAAAAAAAAAGGCAAGAAGTAAAATTAAAACCCAGAATAGGCGTTTTAAACTGATAAGTCTTTAATTCGTAAATTGCCTCTGTAAACTTTTTATTTAGCATAGTATAGCTTGCGAAAAGATCTGTTTCTCCTCGCTCTTCGCCGCTGGGGACGAGCGAAACGTCTTCAGCGGCGAAGAGCGAGGAGAAACGGATCTTTTCGCAGGCTAAGTATAGTACGCCGTGCAAAATTGTCATTACCGCTTTATTGCTTCGCTTTCTTTTTTTTGGTTCCGACAATACAGACTGATATCTTGGTTACATTTAATACTATTAAATCATATTTAATGTAGTTAACGACTAGGAGCTATGGTCTCGGGTGTTTTTGGCATTCTTTGCTAGCGCGTTGGTCGTCTGTAGCGTTGTGCGTGACTATGTTTGCGTTTGTAGCGTTTACCATTGTTCGTGAGCTTGGGGGCAGATTCCTGTCCAGCGGTATGTCGCTTTGGCGCATGCGGAGGCCGTGTGCCTACGTTGTTCCTGCGTTGTACTCGGAGCTTTGTTAGCCTGGCGTGGCGTGGCGTTGCGTTCCAGTAGCGTTGCGTTTCTCTTGGTTCCCCTCCCTCCCTCCGCTTTCTTTCTTATTTATTTTTTTAGTTATTTATTCCTTCAGGGGTTAGCTCATTTTACTTCCACTGGGCTTCTGGCCTCAGTGTGACGGGTGCTATAGTGGGGGGGGGGGCTCGTGGCTGTGTTGCGGGTTGGTAGGCCTGTGGGTGTTCTTCCGCCTTGGGGTGTATTGCGGTTGTAGCCCCCTGGCCCATGGGCACCCAACCTCCACTTGCGACGCAGGCGTTAATGAATTAAAAATTGCAATAGATGCACAGTAACTAGATCACTTACTAGGGTGTAGGAAACGTCAGGGGCCATTATCATACACTTTTTTTCTTTACGCAAGACATACAGCGACACGACAGCCTAGCTATTTAGGCATGAGTGCAAAACGCAAGAAAATGGAGTAAGAGTTCACGGTAATGCGAAGACAAAATAACAGTTATATTAAAATGATAACACGAATACGCAAACATATTACTCGATAAATGTAAACTGCGCTTTTTAAGGAATACTTGCCAAAGAGAAGGCAAATGTCAAACGTATATTAAACCGTCTCCTTCTTCGACGATAAACAATAGTGAGTGAATTAGAACTCACCTCTTTTTTGGCGCTTACAAAGTTTGTGAAAAAGGCCCTGCTGTAAAAAGCTGACGAAAACAAAATTGGCAGGTTCATGGTAGTGAAGATGGGTAGCGAGTCCAGCCATTTCTTGTGGCGCTCCTGTGTCTTTGTTTATGAGACCCTAAAAGGAAATAAATAGAAAAATACGAAAAACGCAAACTCAACGAGGTCATTGTACATGCTAAACAAAAGAGTTGTTGTACATGCCGTCTACCCACTGCCATGAGTAAGAGAGTAATTACATTAGTATATTAAATACATTAAAAGTTCGTGCTCACACGTTGAAAGCCCATTGGCTAACTGGAGTGAAACACTGGCTTTTTTCCCATCATTTTTGTGAGAAATGTCAACATTCGTACTGTTATTTTCAGTGACCGCGAAAGATTTTAGGAACTTCTCCACTCTATGGCCTTGCAGCAGCATGTCGTTCGACAACTTACTCAAATAATGGTGACTGCATTATTTGAGAGCTTGCACAACCGTTTCTCTTGCTTACTTTAGCTCAGTCTTCGTTGTCCAATTCGTCTTGACTCATCGTGGCCTTTTCGTTCTTCCTTAAAGTAATATAACTTAGGAATCGCGGATAATTGAGAGTCGTCTGACCACTCACCAATCTAGCAAGAAGTTCCACGCTGAAAAGGAAATGTTTCTTGATCTGACTCTCCATGTTGGGATGCTTTTGGCAGATGAATGGGTGAGACAGCAATGCTAGTGCCTGGAAACAAAATTACTCACATACTGTGACCTGAATAAAATCCAATACTTATTAGGGTGCGCAAAAGTTTGTTTGAACATAAATCTATTGACAACACTTTGCAGAATGCGTTTAACTTGCGGTGCAGCCTTAATTGTCACTCAGAACGTGGATGTATAGTCGGACAATACCGTCCGTGGTAGACTCTTTGTGGCGCAGGCTACTGAGAAATTACTCCCTGAATCAGTGCAATGAGAATGAGATGTTGAGCTTCCTACTTCTAATGTTGTAGGATATGTAACAACCCACATCAGAGTGCACGAGCTAACATTCTCCATGGTTATCTAATTAATAATGCTAATAGGACTGAGTGGAGTTCAATTCGGTCTGTAAATATAACCATACAAGAGATGAGCAAAATCGGACGACCGCGTAGTGAAATTTCGATTTATTTAATCACGAGTATGATTATAGACCGCCGGGATTGGATGACACGAAGTTACTATAACAACTAATTAAAAAGAGAAATTTCGTGTTTGTTTGCTAGCAGTGAACATAGCTGTACGGGGCAATGAACGGTGAACCATTACGGATTACGTAAAATGTAGTGTCCCTTTCGTGCTAAATACATTGACACTCAAATAAAGTGCGTTTTTTAAAAGGGAATTAAGAATACCACCAATAACTGAGGTGTCAATCGCTCTTGCCAAAAAATGGCAATCCTGAATGGATTAAACAGATGAAAAGATGGTACCTGCAGATATTTTATATCACAGCGCTTGGTAAGGATTACACTAACCTTAGTTTGAGCATCTTCCTCGTCATCTCCTTTTGATGTCATCAGGAGCAAGCGCAGTACGAGAGAGACGTTGATGGGGAAATTGCCAATAAGCCAGGGTATATTAGCCGTGATGAGGCGTTGAACCTTCCGGTAAGGAATTCCAAAAAACACTACGTTGCCTATTGGGTCAAACCCTCTGCGGCCTGCCCTACCAGACATCTGTAAAATATAATTTGGGGCACAGGTTTGACTAGGAAGGAGTTTGTGTGCAAAGCAACTCTTAGTTTACTTATCTAACTGGATTTTGAGAACCCTTACTGAGGTTAAGTCTTTGTTGGTCAACCATTTTTTGGCGTCAAAAACGATCTCCATCAAGTCGCAGAAACAAAGACTTAAGCCTCATTCACGACAACGGGCAAATATTCCAAAAAGCTGTTTGGTTTAACACGGTTTGATTTTTTTTTATAAAAGATGCTTACTGTACTTCTTTGTACTATCCCAGTGCAAGCTTGCACTGGGATAGTACAAAGAAGTTGCAATTCGCTATTTACAATCGCATGCGTAAAAATAACAGCCGATCAGGATGATAATGGTCAAATTAAGAACCCATTTTTAACCACCGAACCCACTGAGAATCAACGTTTAGAACCCCCGAGCTGTGTGCCTAAATCAATCTGCTAAGCAGAAAATCCACTTTATCTTACAGTACATTCTCTAGAGTAGATTTGAGACAAGGGTAGCTTTAAAGCATCTTAAAGATATTTAGGAGAACTTTGTCAAAGATTTTTCAACAACTTCGCCACTCGTGGGTAAAATTGTCGCTACCTGTCTGTACTGCAGGGAGTTTAAAAAAGGCGAGTCTCCAGCTAACACAACCGTCTTACAAGGCATATGGATACCAAGGGCTAGGGTACCTGTTGCAGTGACAACCTATAATAAAGAAACAGCACTACAATTATACCATAAATAAAACGAGATTTCTGTTAAAAGCCAGTAGCACGTACACGGGTCAACATTTGTTGTTCCGCAAACGTTGTAGGCTCAGGCGGAACAGTGCATCATTCCTGTCATGCAATGTTGATACAGGTCATTCAGCATCATGAGAAGTCTTCGTGCCGCGAGCCAAATTTTAGATAAGACGAAAGACTTCTTCGAAAGTCTGAAGTATTACTTGAGTGAGAAGCCCACAACCCGGAGCGAGCATCTTCCAAGAGCTCGAGTCACGACGTTTTCATGTACCAGTTTAATTTTTAGAACGGTTTGGCGCTAATTCTAAACATCTTTTAAATTCCATAAAACCAGTCAACCAAACTCACAAACCTGAAAATGATATTTTTTGCCTTTTAATAACGTTTAGTTTTCCTTTGTGATATCTTATACTTCTAATGCGCTCATTGAAATGGTGGAGATTCTATTTTCGTGAGAAAAAGTGCCCTAAAATGTGCCTGAAATTGAACTGTTCCGTAAAAACGCCATAACTTAGGTCTAGTATGGCTGTTGCTCGCTCCGGGTTATGGCTCCTCATGAGTATGATAAACAACAACTCCATCGGCGGTACGGTCTAAGGGAAATCTTGTCGCGTAAATATGACAGTTCTGTTGTCTGTTAGCACCTCTCTTGGTATTAGAGAAAAAACAGATGACACTCGCGCGTGCGCATAATCGGGACACTGTCCCTTTAAAAGGACAAGTGCTGATAAGCCATATTAACAAAATGAACACTAGCCAAAGGCTTCAGTGAATGAATTTACCAGTCAAAATGTTGACTGATCCTGGAGCCTTAATTTATTTGTGAAAGTCTGGCTCACTTTCGTCAAGACTGACCCAAGTTGCATGTCTGGTAGCCTGCGTGGCAGGCGTTTGAAAGGGAAGGGAAAGGGAGTTTGCGCCGGCCACGCAGGCTACATGTCTGGGGGGACTCCTTTCCCCTCCTTTACAATCTCCCCTCTCTCTCCCGTACCAACTGTACGGGCAGGGTGTACGGGTGTGTGCTCTCGTCACAGCCAAATTTTCTCGCATCGATCTAAAGCAATGGAAACTCGTGCGGGGAATCTCCGCTCCGCTATGTTCTGGAGGTTGTCTTGGCCTTTCACTTATGAAATCTCGAGTTGTAAGCAAGTAGTGAGGTCTTGTTTCGTACAGAGGGAGTGTTTTAAAGAACATGGGAAATGGTTTTTCCAGTTTAGAGATTCTTCAGGAGCAAGAAGTCCGTGAAGATCAGCTGAAATAGTGACATTTGAAATAACTTAAAAATTTTTGACGGTTTAAATTATTCTGCATTTTAGACGGTTGATGGTAAAAAAATAACCTTTTTCGAGAGGGTCTCAATGGGGTGGTGGCTTTTACGGTTATCGGCTAAAATTTTGGCTCTTTTACGGCTATCGGTTAATTTTTTTCAGTTACGGTTAACAAAAAAGTTAAAAATTAACTTCTTTTGTTTCAAAAAGTTAAATATTAATTAACCTGCATTTTTTGTATCTTCAAATCAAAATAAAGGTCTTCGGATCATCTCGGGATGAAACAAGCTATTCTTTTGAAAAATTTTAAAATTTGATAGATCATACTTTTTGTAAAGTATTTCACTTCTAATATTATTTTACACACAGAAATGTCAATAGTCAATTTAAAAATAATCTTTGTGAAAAAGCAAAAGCGGACACGCAAATGCCCAAGTCAAGGCCGGGGCGCGACATTCATTATAACAGAAATGGCCGTTTTCATACCAGAGACGGATTATTCGTGTGAGACGGGTTATCCGTTTGATGATTCGCGTCAGATAGGTAATACTTATTAATTTGAAACTGTAATAGTTTTAATTTTGAATGAACAATCCACCTGACTTTATCCGTCAGTTCCGACGGACAGTTTGAAGACGGGATTATCCGTTCCAGATAGTCTGTGTACAGCCGCCCCCTCCCCTCAGAAAAAATCGGAGAAGGGCGACTGTAAACAGGCTAGTCTCAGACAGATAATCCATTTCTAGCTCTAGCTTGAAAACGGCCAATAACAAAATTCCCGTGTCCAGTGTTTTTAATGATAGCGAAGGACTGTAGGAACAACAATGACACCATCACCACTAGCAGGCCTCATTATTCCGGGCGGCTAATGCATTTCGGGTCACGTGGTCCGAGCGAGTTCACCACCGAAATGCCTTGACCGAGATTGCGTGAGAAGACGCCGTAGCGTCAGAGAAAAACAGGGAATTGTTGTTTTACAAACAGTGACATCTCTGCGTGTTGTTTCACTAGTCTTTCGAGGGCACGACCTCCTAAAAATCACAAATATTAATCCTTAGCAAGAAGCCTCACTTTCGCTATGGAAAAAATTATAGTTCCCCGAGAGAGTGGCGGAAATGGAGCCTAGGTCTTGGTCAACACCTAAAAGGCGCTGCGCCTAACGTGCGTACGGAGTCACACTAGCCGGGAAATAAAAAAACGCAACCATAAGTGACTTTAGTACCTTCATTAAAAGTAGCAAATCTAGGGAACAGTTTCTTTTACGGTTAACTCTTTTTCACTCTATTTACGGCTAACGGTTAAAATTTTTCAATTTTTACGGCTATCGACTAAATTTTTGGCCGTTTTACGCCTATCGGTTAACCCCATTGAGACCCTCTTTCGACGGCTGACGTTAACCCCATTGCGACCTTCCTTTTGGTTGATTGTTTTATGTTTCGTCACAAGTGAAACCAAGAGTTTTATTTGGTTAAATAAGTGCACTGGGACTTAATGCACTGACCTGTAGATATTTTTCTCTGAATAGCATTTCGACACAAGAACGCCTTTTAAAGTCGAGCCCAGCATGATGATAGCTAATTCCACGAGTCAGAGCAGCTTTGAATTTGACAATTTGCTTTCTCTTTGATTTTCTTTTGCCCATCTCAATTCTTTCAATAATTTTCTTCAAGTCCTGGAAGAAAAAAAACCAGAAACTATGATTAGATAGCTTATAAAAACTTGAACTGTGGTAAGTATTGAGGCTACGGAGGCAGTAAAACACCTGCAACTTGTTTTGCGACACTGATGCTGCAAACAAGTTAAAGAACGATTTTGTTTTTTTTTTATCTCCCATGAATCAAACCGGTCCTGCCACACATTAGGTTGTTCCAGGTTAAGAAAAGTTGAGATCCACTTTTTGCTGCGAGGAAGGAGTCTTTTTTGGAAGTACCGTCTAAACGGAAACTCTGGGGATGTTTTATGAACTTACGGTGTATAAGTATACTAAAGAGGACCGTTATACCGCTCACAAGTGGACCGGATAGCCATGCTTGGTCTGCTGCTGTTTATTACCTCATTTCCAATTCCATGGGTAAATGCAAGCGTGCATTGCGGTAGAGGTTGATTTAGATTTGCATAATCCTTTTTCCTCACTTCTGGAACTGCTACTTGCTCCAAGAGTGAGTGGTATCTGTCATGAACATAAATTCAAAGCCGTTTTAGTAAAAGCGGAAAGGAAAAAACCCAAATCTTATACAAATATATCGATTTATACGGAGAAGATAGGTAAATTTTAAACAAGAAAAACAACTGACTGAATTTTATTGAAATGTGAGTTTCAATGTTTTACCTGCCCTCCTTAATTTTGTCAATAACATCTCTTTTCCTTTTCAATAACTTTTGAGCTTGTTTATGTTGCTTTAGTTCCCTTGCTAGTTTTGCATTTTTTGGGTTGTCTTGTTCTCTAATGTGCCTTTCTCTTCTTACGAACTCGCCGGCAAGTCCAAAGGCCATTCTTTCGCATTCCATGCGATCAAAGCTGTAAAATGACAAAACCGGGAACACTATATGTAAATTACGTTAATCATGAAAAAGGTAATAATAGTAACAAAAGCCTGCTTTCTTCTATTTTACGTTCCCTACTGGAGACAGATCGCAATGGGCCAGTTTCAAATTATCAAAGTTCACACTTGGCTCTGAGGCTGAGGGGAATAAAACAAAGAAATGAATTATTAATCCCTGGATCTCCATGCTATTTCTTACTATTGTTTTATTCTTCTTCTAAGCCTCGAAGTCAAGTACAAGTGAATTCTAATAATTCGAAACTGGCCTATTCAAACGTAGTCATCCGAGTCACTGAAGATATAGCTGTTTGGAAGCAAAGGAGAAAAACCCTCTTCCTCACTAGTCTTCAGATTGCCCTGATTATTAGTCCGCCTACAAAGGGGATCAACAGTTGACCAGCACTGTACCAAAGTGGCTCCCTGGTTGGGTCCGTTTTCTTCGCTTAAAGTGTTTCCGAACCCGAGTGTACCGAACCAATAACAACACAGCAAACACGGCACTTTTTTCAAAGTGGTTCTGTGATTGGCCTGTTTTTCCCTGCTTTGCTTTGCGTCAGCTTAAATAGATGTCCCTTGCGTTGCAGTCCTTTTTCACAATATCCTTGCCTTTCCGACATACGTCTTGCCTTGTTTTACTTAGCATTGCATTCACAGAAGCGACTCGTTTTGGATTTTCTCTTAAGTTATGCATCAGTCAATTCCAGCTGCCCCCATCTCCCTTGGCTACAGCGGGGTATTTGCCCTTGTCAGTCTTCTGTATTCCATTCGGTTTATGAAAAACTTTGACAGTCAAAATCTACTATATGTACTTTTTTACTCAGTGGTATAGGCTAGTTCATAGAGCTATTAGGATCAATACATAAAAAAAATGTCCTTTTATGTCATACACGAACACGTATCAACTAACAATAAAACCAGGTTAAGCGTTCACCCATATATTTTGAAAATTGAATTCCTGTTAGTTGTTGAAAACGACTCACGGGTACTCTTGATCAGGTATGCTTATGAACACTTTTTTGTCTATAAAGGCAAAAGTGTACCTGAACACTAAGGCTGGAAGTTTTCCTTGTGCTTTAAGTTGCTCGATGAGCTTTGGAAAGTTTTTTATGTTAAATTCTTTCCCAGATGAAGGCATTCCCAGTTCCATCCACTCTTTGTCAATCAAGGCCTTTCTCTTCACAAAAGTGTCGTTCAATGCCTGAATTACTGCCTCAACCTAAATGAAAAAAAGCTTGTCATGTTAGCAAACATGCATCTCCCGTACGAGGCGAATGGATAAATATTCTACTCTATCAAGTAGAGACGCGTTAATATGTAGGCATTAAAACGATCAGAAGTACCCTAATTAAACAGGTGCACGCACATTATCCAAAGGATAAATTGCGCGTTAGCACATGGTGTTTCTCAGTTTTCCCATAAGGTGACATCTGCATTCACTGAATGCTCTTAACAGAATTTTCACGTTGAACTCTTATCAAGCAATTGTTAATCAGTTATTGGAAATTTATTAACTGAACGTATGGTTAAATCCTATCTAACTTCAGTGAAACCAGGCTCAATTTCAGCAGCATTCATTCCCACGCCTGTGTTCCATAGAGCGGTTTTCACTTGACTGTCGAAAGGGATTGGTTTTGGTTTTGGTTTTGGTTTTACTACGCCCTTTGGTTGGCTAGTGTATTTACTTTGGTTTTGGTTTTACGACAGTCAAGTGAAAACCGCTCTATCCAGAAATTTCTTGATCATTATTCCCGTGTATTTGATGTTTTACCTTTTCCATTTGGTTATCATCAGCCCATGATTTTAACTCCTTTTTCAGCTCCCTCTCATACTGCCTTGCATTGCTTTTGGTAATGAAAGACTGTTCCAAGAAATATTGCTCCGGAGAAAGTTTCTGTTATAAAAGTAGTTGCATTTTTAGGTCATTGCTGTAAGGCCTCATTCAATATATAGTGAATATATTCCGGAATTTATCGAAAAGAGTACTGTGTAATAATTAAGGCGAAAACTACTTATCAGTCATCTGTAAGCCAAGAAGAATGTATGTTGGGTTTCGGAAATTTACGGCCTGGAACAAGAAGGGAGCTTCCCGTTCATTTGTTAGCGCGTTAGGCTAAGGATGTTTGTCAACGGTTTAAGTACCGTTCTCAAACCTATCGTTCTCTCTGAGCATAGGTTGTGTGAAACCAAGTCGGCAGAACTGGGCTAAAACGTGTTTTCTCACCACAACATCAAGCCCTGCTCTGATCGAAAAAAAAAACGTATCCTTACTGAGAGTTGGAAACAGGTTTTATGCAATATTATGATATACTGAAATTTCTTCGTCTGCTTACGAACGAACACATTATCGGCTAACCTGCAATGATTCTTTGCCACACCATTTCTCAACCATGGTGTTATACAACTGAAGAGATTCGTTAGGCGTGAGAGCCATATCACCTGGAAAACCATTTTCTTTTAGCTGTAGAAGGAGAGAGGGAACATATAAAAAAAACTACATGCATTAAACAGACCCCACATGGATCGGACACCGTTTGCTTCAGTAGAGCACACACACCAGTAAGAAGCAAACTTTTCTTTACATAAATCTTTGATATTGAGTGTCCACTTGATGCATATTTCACTGAACACCAAACCATTTTCTTCGTAAAGGTTTAATTACACTAGACCGCTAGAAATCAGTTGACAGGGTCTATAAGTGAGTAGTTTTGCTGTCTGGTATTGGATTTTCTGGGGCTCGTACTCTCTTGAGCTCTTTAAATTCCATGACTTTCCCTGACTTTTTCCATGATCTTTTCAAGTTTTTCATGACCTTATTTTAGCTTTTTACGCTAGAAAATTGTCAAAACTTTCCTTGTTTTAGGGAATTTCTGAACTAACGCAGTTCAAAACAACTTCAGGCGTCCACCTATTTTTCTTAAATTTTCCATGACTTTACAGGACCAACAATTAAATTCTATGACTTTCCCGGCATGGGAAATGACATTGTTAAATTTTATGACTTTCCAGGTTTTCCATGGCCTGTACGAACCCTGGATTTGGAAAGGCTTCAATGCATCAATTATATGGAAAGGTTATTTTTGTGCGGTTGAGGATTCCACAGGTTTTTTTTCAAACTTTCCCACGTGAGCAAGCTAAATCGGTAAACCAATGCAATAGGTGTAAGACAAACCTGTTTCGTTACAAGTTGAGCGCACGGGTGAAGTCTGACAAATTCGTCTGTACACTGAACGTCATACTCTTTCTCGTATTTCCATGTTCGTTTTGAAAAGCCACCATTACTGGGACTTGGTAGGTAAATACTCTTCTCCAGATCTGAATACCTTTCCTCGCATGTGACTAGTCGACGCGTCGGAAGTGCAGAAAAAAAAGTGTGAAGAGCAGTGACAAAAACCAAGGATAAGTATAGTGGTGGTAGGAAAATACTCACCGAGAGTAAGTAATTGGGTTGTACGATTCTTAGTTGGGGGTTGATTGCACCTTTAGATAAAAGAATAGCGATAGTAATAAAGAAGGGAGAGGTTGGACTTAAGGGACACCAATTTATCTGAGTAAGGAAGAGACACACGAGAAAAAAAAACTCTGTCTCGTTCCATGAAAGGGAATTTGGATTCCGGAATCAGAGAAATTTTTGCTTTTGAAATCTGGAACCCTGGGCTTTGGAATCCGGAATGCAGCTTAAGGAATCCGGAATCCCGGTAACGATTAGAATCCGGAATCCAAGTTCCAAAGACAAGAATCTGGAACCTAGTGACTGGAATCCAGAATCAAAGATTTTCCCGGACTCCCTTACATGCGGCGATCTGTGTGTTCTCTTCACCACTCCGGCAAGCAATAAAAATACCTCACTAAAATGTGAATGTGTTTAGCACAAAATACCAATTGACTTTTTATATGGTTTATCCGATTTGCATAGCAACAGAGTACTTTCACTTTTAGTTTATGTTAAGACCGTAAGTGGGGATCCCGCAGAGAATCGAAATCGCAACCTCTCTCTTGTACTAAAGGTTTGTGAAGCCAGAGTATCAAAAAAAGGGAGATATTGCTGATTTGCAAACTTTGCATGTACCGACTCCAATTATACACTATCATTGTCCATATTTGATAATTGAGGATAAAAGAATGCGATCATCAAGAAGTAATTTGAGAAATAATTGTGGTATTCACGTATTTGCCGATTATAAACTTACCCAAATTGACACGATATGATTCCCTCAAGTTGTCACCCTCTTGTTTGTCTTGTTGCTCACGAAAATTTTGGGCAGCTTGCAACCAGAAGGTCATTGCTGTAAGGCCTCATTCAATATATAGTGAATATATTCCGGAATTTATCGAAAAGAGTACTGTGTAATAATTAAGGCGAAAACTACTTATCAGTCATCTGTAAGCCAAGAAGAATGTATGTTGGATTTCGGAAATTTACGGCTAAGAACAAGAAGGGAGTTTCCCGTTCATTTGTTAGCGCGTTAGGCTAAGGATGTTTGTCAACGGTTCAAGTACAGTTCTCAAACGTATCTTTCTCTAGCTCTCTGAGCATAGGTTGTGTGAAAGAAAAGAGGACAGAACTGGGCTAAAACGTGTTTTCTCACCACAACATCAAGCCCTGCACTGATCGGAAAAAAAAACGTATCCTTACTGAGAGTTGGAAACAGGTTTTATGCAATATTTTGATATACTGAAATTTCTTCGTCTGCTTACGAACGAACACATTATCGGCTAACCTGCAATGATTCTTTGCCACACCATTTCTCAACCATGGTGTTATACAACTGAAGAGATTCTTTAGGCGTGAGAGCCATATCACCTGGAAAACCATTTTCTTTTAGCTGTAGAAGGAGAGAGGGGACACATAAAAAAAACTACATGTATTAAACAGACCCCACATGGATCGCACACCGTTTGCTTCAAGAGAGCACACACACCAGTAAGAAGCAAACTTTGATAAATCTTTGATAGTGAGTGTCCACTTGATGCATATTTCACTGAACACCGAACCATTTTCTTCGTAAAGGTTTAATTACAGTAGACTGCTAAAAATCAGTTGACAGGGACTATAAGCGAGTAGTTTTGCTGTCTGGTATTGGATTTTCTGGGGCTCGCACTCGCTTGAGCTCTTTAAATTCCATGACTTTCCCTGACTTTTTCCATGATCTTTTCAAGTTTTTCATGACCTTATTTTAGCTTTGTACGCGAGAAAATTGTCAAAACTTTCCTTGTTTTAGGGAATTTCTTAACTAACGCAGTTCAAAACAACTTCAGGTGTCCACCTATTTTTCTTAAATTTTCCATGACTTTACAGGACCAACAATTAAATTCTATGACTTTCTCGGCATGGGAAATGACATTGTTAATTTTTATGACTTTCCAGGTTTTCCATGGCCTGTACGAACCCTGGATTTGGAAAGGCTTCAATGCATCAATTATATGGAAAGGTTATTTTTGTGCGGTTGAGGATTCCCAAGTTTTTTTTCAAACTTTCCCACGTGAGCAAGCTAAATCGGTAAACCAATGCAATAGGTGTAAGACAAACCTGTTTCGTTACAAGTTGAGCGCACGGATGAAGTCCGACAAATTCGTCTGTACTCTGAACGTCATACTCTTTCTCATATTTCCTTGTTCGTTTTGAAAAGCCACCATTACTGGGACTTGGTAGGTAAATACTCTTCTCCAGATCTGAATACCTTTCCTCGCATGTGACTAGTCGACGCGTCGGAAGTGCAGAAAAAAAAAATGTGGAGAGCAGTGACAAAAACCAAGGATAAGTATAGTGGTGGTAGGAAAATACTCACCGAGAGTAAGTAATTGGGTTGTACGATTCTTAGTTGGGGGTTGAATGCACCTTTAGATAAAAGAATAGCGATAGTAATAAAGAAGGGAGAGGTTGGACTTAAGGGACACCAATTTATCTGAGTAAGGAAGAGACACACGAGAAAAAAAAACTGTCTCGCCTCATGAAAGGGAATTTGGATTCCAGAATCAGAGGAATGTTTGCTTTTGAAATCTGGAATCCTGGACTTTGGAATCCGGAATGCAGCTTAAGGAATCCGGAATCCAAGTTCCAAAGACAAGAATCTGGATCCTAGTGACTGGAATCCAGAATCAAAGATTGTATCGGATTCCCTTACATGCGGCGATCTGTCTGTTCTCCCCACCACTCTGGCAAGCAACAAAAATACCTCACTAAAATGTGAATGTGTTTAGCACAAAATAACAATTGACATTCTATATGGTTTATCCGATTTGCAGAGCAACAGAGTACTTTCACTTTTAGTTTATGTTAAGACCGTAAGTGAGGATCCAGCAGAGAATCGAAATCGCAACCTCTCTCTTGTACTAAAGGTTTGTGAAGCCAGAGTATCAAAAAAAAGGGAGATATTGCTGATTTGCAAACTTTGCATGTACCGACTCCATTTATACACTATCATTGTCCATATTTGATAATTGAGGATAAAAGAATGCAAACATCAAGAAGTAATTGGAGAAATAATTGTGGTATTCACGTATTTGCCGATTATAAACTTACCCAAATTGACACGATATGATTCCCTCAAGTTGTCACCCTCTTGTTTGTCTTGTTGCTCACGAAAATTTTGGGCAGCTTGCAACCAGCTGCAAGAAGAAACACATACAATGCAACCTCATTCATTCAAATAACTTGCTAAAGTCACATTCCACTATTCTATAAACAACCTGTTCCGCTCAAAGCTTAGTCTCCTTCGCAGCCGTTATTAGGGTCGTCACTCGTCACGCAACGCTTCTCCCTACTAGTTAGTGAGGAGGAGCGTTGCGTGACGAGTGACGACCCTAATAACGGCTGCGAGGGAGACTACTCAAAGCTTAGAAAGGTGAATAGATCTGTATAGATCTTACTCTCGAAGATGATTTGGATTTCCAATGGTAGCTGAAAGCGCCAAAAAGGGACAACGAATCAAAAGAAGGAGGTGTTCCCAGACTTCGGCTCCTATCTCCTCACCCAGGCAGTGAACCTGCAAAAGGTAAGTTGTTTATTGGTNCCCACCCTTTTTTTAAGGGAAAAGCCCTGGGGACGAGGTTGCTTTTGGGCACAAGGTTTTTACAGGGTCAAATCAGTCTCCCCTTTTCGATTTACAACGTTATTACAGGGTCAAATCAGTCTCCCTGGTTCGATTCACAAGGTTTTTACAGGGTCAAATCATCTCTCTTTTTCGATTTACAAGGTTTTTACAGGGTCAAATCAGTCTCTCTTTTCCGATTTACAAGGTTTTTATAGGGTCTAATCAGTCTCCCTTTTTTAATTTTCGGTATTTTTACAATGTTCAATGATTCCATCCCTTTTCGATTTACAGGGTTTTTACATAATCATTACAACGTCGCGGTAAACTATCCTGTTTAATTTACTTGTTTGTTACAGTATTTTTTGACAATATTCACAGTATATTTACATGATCTTGCCTTAAGAACCTTTACATTTAACAGGATTGTCTCCATTCTTTACATGTTCTGCTCCTAATATTTACACCTTTTTTACAGTAACTTTTAAGATCATGTAAAAGGGCAATTTTCCTGTAAAATGTCATTTGCAGTGATCTGTAGTTGATTTACGTGATATTTACATGTTAGAATTGCATTTTACATGTGCATGTAAATTTAGTCCCAGAAAATGTGCACATAACCTTTGTATTTGTTAACTCTTTTGAAGGGGTAACTCTCTTCAGGGGAAAGGGACACTATTTCTGGGCCCCGAAACCAGGGTTAATTAACCTTCATTCAAGGGACTCCTTAGCACTCAAAACGTGACTTACCAAAAAAGGGGTTGATATATTTAAGTCTTCACTAGCTAGTCACAATGATGACAGATTTCATTACATGAACTATATCACTCAAGTCGCTGTACTGCACGTGTAAGAATTTAACAGCTGGTATCGCGGAGACAAATTAGTAATGAATGTTGATACATTATCTAGCTCCTTGAAAAAACGACTGAAGCAGATTCCGAGGCAGGAATAAAAAAATATATTTTATTTGTTTGTTCATTTTTGACAAACCCCAGCCCAACCCCTATTCAGGGGACATTTGCCATGGTCCCGAGGGTGTCCCCAGATTACAGGTTCCACTGTATGGCAAACAAAACTAGACAAATGTTAAATCTGAATTAGTCAAGTATATATGGATTTTAAAATAGTTATACAGGCCTCCGGTGATACCAGCATTAGCTGACCTGGATCGGCCAGTATAAATATTGCTTATACATCAATGAATTAATCATTCAATAAATAAAAAGATAGATAAATAAAATGTTGCTTACAATGTTCAAGGTAATAGGCCATTTCTGAGTCCCAAAAACTCTCACCTTCAAAACAAGGCTAATTGCTAAACTTTTCTTTTGAAAATGAGTTTTATTTGCATGAGAATAACAAAAACAATTTTCAAGACAATGGCTTTGCACTTAGCCTCGCTTTAAAACAGAGGCTTCAGGCAACCCGGAAATGGCCTATTAACACAATAAATCTACCTGCGAGTTCAAAGCATCGTGACGATAATCTCTGGTGAATACGCCATAAACAGCTCTTCCCTCTGGAAGTTGTTTACGGTGAAAACGGGCGTAAATCGTTGCCGTAACTTGATTCACCAAAGCCTACCAAGAGAACATCAAATTCTTGATCAAATTCTTGTATTGGGGTTATCACTACTGTTGTAAATCTTTATCATAATGATTATAATTATCAACGATTATCACATCGAAGTGACTCAGATGCTAAACGTTTTACACTTTATTTAAAGTGCGACTTCTCGAACTGGGGCAGTTGGAAGAAGAGTATCCAATTACGACAGAGATTCTCAAGATTCACAAGAGATCGCAAGTTCTTTGCAAACGGACGAATAACATTTAAGCATTTAAACAAATTGTCATTGTTTTAATAGTTTGGACGGTCGCATTGTTGATATATTTGACAGTTATTAGTACGTTTGCAAAATCGTGCAATTCTTTTGTGTTCAAGAAACATTGTCATTGAATACTCGTCTTCCAAGTGCTCTGTTTCGGGTGGCCGCCCTATAAGAGTGTTAATCTCCACAAAAAGTAAAATAGTGCAAAAGTTTACTATCAAAAAAAAAACATTACATTCGGTGACTAATGTGTATTAAGCAAGAACTTCCAGAGGAGACCTTTAACCAAAAGAGGGAGCCTTTAGCCGAAAATTGTACGGAAAGAGGTCATTTAATTTATTAATTCATATACATTTACGCTTTAATCGTACATTTGCCTTCTAATTAACAAATGTCAGGTAACCTGAATCCCGTGTTATTACAATGTTTCCTAATAAGAACTAAAAATTTGATAACCATCCTTTCTAGAAATCGTTGGGAACCACCGCCGCGGAAAACTTCAGAAACCTTCGGAATACTTCTCCCCTTTTTTAAAATCTTCAAAATTTACTGTGGATTAGTTTTCGAAGACTCTACACAACTTCAGAGTTTTAAAGGCTTACAAGTAAACAAGGGAAATTCTCGAGGGCTTATTACGAAATTCGTCGAGTTAACGTCACTCTTGCATTATCATTGAAAGCTTCTCACGAGCAACTTTCATGAAAGCTTCTCAAATATTGTTAATGAAGGTATACTACAAGGGGGTTCCCCTGTTATATTACCTTGGTGGGTGAAACATAAACCACAACTCCATTGTTGCTCTCTCTCAACACTTTTTCCATGCAGTAATACGAGGCGTATGTTTTCCCTGATGACGTCGGTGCGACTATAACTGCTGACTCGTTATTATCCACAGCATCTAGTAGCTTACGCTGCAAAGGGGATAACGGATCGAGTAAGAATAGAGTAGATCCCAATTTCTCGGACCCTCGGTTTTTTGAAATTCCTGATAATTCGAACCAAACTTAACTTCCCTTCACCAGTAAAACACTGTAATTTTACGCCCTTTTCTAAACCTCCAGATAAAACAATTTGCTTTTCCCACAGTGGTTTCAAAAAATCGGGATTCTACTGTAGATTCACCTGAGATCCCCACAATTTATTTTTCTTATAATTCCCAGCAGGTTGGAAGTGCACGAAACCTCAAGATATTCTTTCTTGTGTACGTATGGAGATGCTGGTTGCTTTACAGTGTTCTTACAAGAGAATTTTATTGGGTTCATTTCCATCCCAGAAGTTTAGCTGACGTCTGTCCTACTGCCAATTAGATTCTATATTTCTCAGCCAAATGTCCTAAAATGTAGAACCTAATTACTTATAGAACACAACATATATATCATGTACCCTCCAGCTCAGCTCCAGTTCATTCTGTCCATTGGATTTGATATTTCAGCTACAGCTAATATATTTCTCTGTTTAGATAACAAATTTTGTATTTCTTTCGTCCTATTCAAGGCGACTAAAGTACGTCGCTGACCATTTTCATATTCTACTAAATACTTAAATTCGCCTCCAAAGCCATCGGAGAAAAGAGAGGAACCAAATGAGCTTGCACCATCATTGTAGTGACCAGTTATAATTCACAAACCTGCCAGGTGTCTGGAATAAAGTGTTCCACACGCGGGTCGGGATCGTTGCGCTCTTCCCGTTGCAGTAAGTGCCCCATGTGCTCCAGCTGAAATCGCGCGCTTGTCTGACGCACCGAGAACTGACCATTCTGTTAAAACGAAAAACACTTTTTAATGATAATACAAATAATAGAAATAATAATAATAATAATAATTTTTTGTAGTTTCGTTTTCATCCTTTAGCTACTTTTAAGTCAAAGGGTTTTCATCCTACAAGAAGTGCTTACGTACCTCGCTTTTTTATTAGTACTTTGCAACAGCGCAAAAATTAAACAGGCGACGTTTCTTCCTGTGCGCTTTTCGGCAAAGAAATCGTCGTAGGGTTCGGGCTTGTTGTTGTTGTTCAATAAAAAGCCGCTCGTTGTAGGATTCACTTGAGGCCCGTTATGTTCCGTTATGGACTTGCGAAAGTGTTAAGAGGTGTAAAAGCTCTTCAAACACGCAAAAACGTCTGCTAATGGTTTTGAAAGCTTACTCCTGCAAGGACTTGTAAGCCATTCTGAAAACTTTTGTTGTTACATAATCAGTTCGACGTACGGAAAAGTTAAGCTTATAATTTCTTTAAATTTGTAACGAAACTTCGGAGTACAATGAAATAATTTCAGGCCAAAGTTTGTGGCTTTTTTGTCGCTGTCTGTATTGCATTTTCTGTTTTTTTCCTGTTGTTTCGTCAGTAGAAAGCTCGCGAAATTTTTTTGTTTTCCATATAAGATCAAATTAAGGTATATGAGCTGATAACCGAGATTGATTGAGTCAATCAGAATGCTAGAAATGCATTATCCGAGGTTGAAAATTTAATAACTAGAGGATATTACATGGCCGCGCGGAGATACGAAATTTCTCTTCGAGTGTTGAAAAATATTTTACGAGTGAGGGCAGCGAACGAGTGAAATATTTTCAACACGAGAAGAGAAATTTCGTATCTCCAAGCGGCCATGTAATGTTCTATTTATTATATAAACACCAATGAAATAACAAACCATTTCACTGAAACAGTTTTTTCCTGCGAAAGGCGCGATTTATTATGTAGTCATAGCAACGGTGATATTTTCACATTTGAAAATAACATGTTATTTTCACGTGTGAAGATATCATGTTTTCGCGCGAAAGCTCACCTGGTATTTCATTGGTGTGTATATAATAAAAAGTAATGTCTTATTTGAGAAGGAAACTTGGCCGAGTTAATTATCACAGGGACTTCTGGGGTTGTAAATGAGGACGCGGCTGTCAGCTATTGGCTATTTTTTCCCCTGTCGCCAGTAAGTCAGTCCAGTCAGTCTCAAAATACTTTGCGAAAGTTCAGCCAGCCAAACTTCCTTCTAGTCTCTAAAGTGGGGAATACTCTACCTCCTTTGACTAATTACCAATACTTTGGTACCTTTGTATATTCATTATATTATTCTCGTGTTTGAACACATCATACCAAAGCCGAATTCAGTAATTGTTTTAGTTCTCATTCAAAATATTTCTAAGTTCTTAACAAGTTTGCCTTCTCGTAGACTTTCCT